CAATCTGTGCATACCGGATCTCTCGAGACACCACTATGGTATCAGTCCTCAGTGACAGAGGACCTTGAGATGGAATCTATGGATTATCTCAGTGAAACCCTTCATTTCAATTCTGGTACCTTGAATCTACAGTGATGGACACATTATAAATGGCACAGATGAGATTAGATACTTTGGAATGGTGTCTATTCAGAACTCATTTGTTGTCACAAGACATAGGGCAATAAGTTTCCCTCCGGTTGACTGATTTTACTATCTGTTATTTAGTCATTAAGGGGAACATCTGCCTCCTGCTCCATGGATGCAGTTCAGTTGCTCTGGAGGATATACGTATAGACAATGCAAGGGTATAGAGCCTTGCTTCTAGGCATAAACACAGTCTTCAGCCTGTAGAGATCGGAAAATCCTATAAAAGGGCTTATTGGGCCGTAGTAACCTCTGTGGAGCTGCTCTTCAGCCACTCTGCATCCTGGATGGAAATATTTCCCCCCCTCTGCTGCCCCAGACATTGAGCACAGCATTTGGGCCTGATTTAGTAATAGTAAGAATCTGAAGCACACTGGCTCTACAATAGGCTGGCAGTGCAGCCATCAGAGCACAAATGTCAGTGTAATGGGTGAAATCACCTGAGCAGTTATAATACAGCAGAACCCCATTCATCTGACCTAATTGGGACTGGGGTCAGATCAGATAATCCAAAATTTGCATAATCAAGAGAATGGGCTAAGAGCTTTCTATCCATTATTTTAAAGACCCAGAGTTGCTTTTAAACTAGCTGACCCCTCCTGGAAAAGCATTAAAACATAGCCCCCTTCTCTATTTTCAGTATACATGAACTGTTACTTCTAGTCACCAGTACCAGTTTTTAAAAATGCAGAAATGATCATTTTAAGTTGCAACAACAGCAATACCAATGGTAACAACTATCAACAGTAACAATACATAATATGCATAAAGTATCAAATTAAAATACAATACTGTATATAGCACAGTGATAGGTACAGCAGCACTCGTGTTGATAATGGCTGGAAAAAATCTAACAGTTTGTGTTCTTTTAGATGAAAGGGTCTCTTCTTCATTGCACGATCACGGAGTTGCTTCATCAACAACCGTTCAGTGTGTGCGCTGGTTGTTCAGTTAATATGGAAAGCTGGCTAATGGAGGCTTGAGTGAACAGGGATTTACTGTACTATAGCTGAAAGAAGCTGCAATCTATTCCTAGCTGATGGTCACTTTAGAGAGTTACCATATAAATGTACTGCAATGGAATAAGACTAGTACAACTGGTGTAGGTCATTCCAAATACCCTACTTTTCCTGCAATATCCGTGCTTTCCAGATGCCTCAGTTTTCCTTCTGTGATATATTTAATAGTATGTGGAACAGAAAATACTTTTGGAAATTTAGGGATAATGTTTTCCTTTACATTCAAGGTAACCTGCATACTCTCTTCAATGTCCAACATATTGTTAAATGCTTGGTGTTTTGGATAGTAATTTTTCAATGTCATTTTCCATCTATATTGTATATGGAATATTTAAATGGATAAAAAGGGATGATCCAGAGCCATGAATTATTATTTATTTACTATTTATTAAGCACTGCAGAATGCAGAGAGGAAGACATAGTAACTATCCTAAGAATTTACAAGTCTGTACAATGAGAACTTTTCCATTCAAGTATAACAAATTACCTCCACATCTGGCTTTCTGAGGGAAGAATTGGGCACAATGTGTCCACCCCAAATATAACATAATTTGTGCTATAATGCTATATCAGCCTCACCCTTGCATTACAATATCACTTACATCTCCACACACTTTCAATGCCAGCTTTTTAATGCATGAATAATTCTAGCAATTGCCTACTGAAACAAAGATTAGACATCATGAAGTCATAACATGTCACTCTCATTTGAATTATAATATTTGTAAGAAATGTTTTTAAAAGATCTAAGTTACCATCATCCTCTGGATCTTCCTGCCCCATATTCGTCTGGGTTTTAGATTGTAAGTAGAACTGCAGGGGGAAGAATTCTCAATTTTGAAAGTCCAAAAAATATGTTGTGATTTTTATTTTTTGAAAATTTCCCCCCAAAATATGTTGCTGTTTTTAAAACTAGCTTATGGAGTGGTCAAATACGTTAGTAAATTTGAAATTTTGCTTACAGCTTTTCATTAAAAGTTTTGAAAAAACATTTGCAATTTCTTTCATTAATTTTTGCCCAGCTGTAATTGGACGAGCACTTCAGGAACAATCTGTCTGATTTGTGCTTTGGATATGGTTCCAAGCACCATGCTCATGCTTAGTAAACAAATAACCATTAACAAAAAAATAATGATACAAACGTTCTGACACTTTGGGTTACGTGAGTATTCTGGGAATTGTGGTTCCATTTGTTTCCATTAGAAGTGTTTGGAAATCTAATTTAAAATAAAATCTCCTATTTAAGATTGCAAATCATAGCTGTAAACCTTAACATGCATGATAAAGCCAAAGAGAGACTCTCCCAAGGCATCCACTTGGCCGTGGTAGCCCTCAGGTCAGCCAGGTGGTCATGGGTTCTAAAGGCTCTTTAGGAATGATAATACCAGCTGGGCTATGTTATCTCTTTCTCTTAATAACCACAGGACTAGATGGAAGGATGATGTGTGTCCCCCTTGTCTTTCCTCTGGCCAGCCCACTCCCTTACCATGGCCAGTCAATCTCTATCCCCTCCCCCAGCATGGACCTTAGACTATGTTAAGAAGCAGCCGTAGGGTATTTGTTGGGGGGGAGGGGGCATGGAGAGGATGGTGATACGAAGATAGCTACACCCTCTTTCCATGTGTAATGGGGTGGGATTCATGCAAAGATAGTACCTTCTGCATATGGATACATGGGTCATAATCTGGCCCCATGTACGTAAATTAGTACTAATAACTGAAAGGGCTGTATTGGAATAAAAGTGCAGATATGACAAAACTGTTAAATGTAATTTAAGGCTTTTCACCCCTTTTGTGAATGGGTGGGAAAATGTCACTTTTCATTTGTTTGTTTTATTCATATTTTCCAGAAGTGTTTTTAATGCATTGTAATTTATAAAATTGAAAGTAGCGAGTCACAAAATAAGAGGTACGAGAAGAGGTGAAGTGGCCAATTCCATCTGATGTGGACTGAATGTGAGCAAAAGGCATTTTGAAATATTTGGAAACTTTGTCAAGCAATGAAAATTGCATAGGCACATGCCTAGCAACCTATTAATTTTCAAAACAAAACCCCAAGAAAACTATTTTACATGTGAATGGGATATAAGCTGACCTGCACAAAATTCAATCTAAATAAGCTTCCAAGATTGTCACTATGTCTATGGTGCTCAGAAAGTCTGAGTCACCAGGTTGAATTATCACTGGGACTCACCGGCAGGTACCATCCAAATTTTAAGTTATCTGCTATTTTTGGCTTTTTTGCACACATGACTTTACAGCATGGGCAATCAGTTCTTTGTATTTATTAATGGTACAAGAAAGAATTTAAAGCTATTCTGAAACCTACATTCTCAAATTTAGAGCTACAGGCCCTGATTCAGAAAAGCAATGAAGCATGTGGTTACCTTTGCAAAAGACTGTACTTAAGCATATATTTAAATTTAGTCATGCACTTAAATCCCATTGAGGTCAATTAAACTACTCATGAGAGTAACTGTCACCAATGTGAATGAAGAGTCCCAATCTGGCCCATAATTATCAGCAACATACTGTATCACCTTCTACACAGGCATTATTAATCTGGCATATTATGGTAAAATATTTCCATTCTCCTCCACGTACCATAACTGTTTTACCATAAATGGCCCAGTAACAAGAAATACTTATCAGCCAACTGCAAATGTATTAATTTCTCAATACACATATAACTACAGGTACTGATGCTTGAGCCAAAACTCTTTGAAGTCAATGGAAAGATCTCTGTTGTCTTCAGTTAGTATTGGATTGAGCCTTTAGTTCTTACTATACAACTTTATTTTTGTGTTTTTAAGGTTTAAAAAGTGTTTGTTGTTGTTTTTTGTTTGTTTGTTGATTTCACTGAAGAAAGGTACCTGAACACTATCTACCATATCTGCTGTCAAATATATGTAGTTTGTAAGGAAACTACTGTACACATGGGTGGGAGAAAGGGTCCATAATTCATATCACTTTTTTTAATCCTTCAATTTTCAAGCTTCATATTTATACAACAGGGCCACGTTATTTCCTTGTTCCATCTCTAGCCAGTGTCTCTCTCTCCTGTATGTAAATAATATCTCCATGTAATATGATGAGTAAGTTCCAGAGGAAGAGATTGTATTTGGACTTTCCCAGTTTGGTATATCACCTTCCTAAAGGTGATGTTGCACCCAGGAAGGAATGAGGTAGTGCAGGGAATGCTACTTTGCTCTTTCCTTCCTTCTATCTGACCAAGAGAACACAGAAGAAGGAAATGGTAAAGAGCTTCATGTTGATGACTTTTACAAGTATAATGACCTCTCTAAATGCTCACAAAATGAGGCAAATTTTTCACATCCACACACATTTTTCATACATTTGTGGCATGGGCTTAAATTTATGTGAATATACATTAGGCTGATACCTCACCACCTTACTGCCTGGCTGGGAGGGTAGAACATGGAGTCCCTTCCGGAGCTGTCATTAGTATCTCTCCATGACTTCTAAGGAGCCATGGCATGCAAGGATCCTACATTCAGCATTCCTTGTCCCTCACTCTGAATGCAACAAGGCTCTGGTCCCACCAGCCTGGAACATGAGAGTTCTGAGGTTGTTCCTGAACTAAAGTCCTCAATCTGCAACTCAAAAGCCGGTCATCAAAATATTCTTCCATTTCTAATGATTTTTTTATACTTCAAAATTTTTTTTTTTTTGAAAAGTTTATTTATAATTTCATTTTTTGAATGTTTCTACAGTTTTGGATTGTTTGAACTATTTGCATAATGTACAACATTCTAACCATATTTTTCCTTTTCAGGAAAGCATAGATTTGGGTGAAATCATGTTTTCCCTTTGCTATTTACCTACTGCCGGGCGAATGACGTTAACAGTAATCAAATGTAGAAATCTCAAAGCCATGGATGTAACTGGCGCTTCAGGTAGGTATGCTTCTTTTCATTTAACAGCGTGGAGTTCTGGTCTGAAAAGTGGCTATATTAAAACCACAACTTCTTACTCAACAAATATGTGTATTTTGAATATGCTGAGTCATATCTGCTCAGTTTTGTGAAAAAATATGGGTTGGTTTTTTTCCTGCTTTTTCTTTTTATTAGCTGTGCAGAGACAACATGGGTCAGAAAGAGTGAAATGAGGATTCTGTTTCATCTTTTGCACGATCAACCAAATTGTTTACAAAGTTCCAAACAATTCTGTGCAAAGCCATTGAAAGCAATAGCCATTGAGGGCATTCACTGAAGACAATGGGATTATGCAGGTGTAAGAGAGGGCATAATTTGGCCACCCCAACATTGATTATTTTGATGCTGAGTGAGATAAAACACTGGTTAGCTGTTAGAGTTCAGGCTGAGTTTGCAGGACTGTTGGTTGTTTTGTTTTGTTTTGTTTTGTTTTTAAAGTTGTAAACTTAAACTTGATACAGAAAGCACTGCGAGACAAACATGTAAATCCACAGTCTTGTGGTACCAAAGACACTTTACAGAATGGAACTGCTCTTCAAAAGACACTCCTTTAGTGGAGCATTAAAAATCTCTATATCCAGTGGAAAGTTTTGATTTAGTTGACATTAAATTGTACTTTGATATTCACCTACAAAGTTTTGGGGCTTGTTTGTTTGTTTTTTAATTAAGTTTTGCTTTGTTTTCTGGAGGGGTAGGACAATGGGGATTACTCTATCCTCTTAAAATAATAGCAGAAGATATTTAAAAGAAAATGAAACATTAAAAATGCCGGGAGAGATTTTCAAAGGCGCACACAACTCCCATTGACTTTCAATTGGAATTAGGTACCTAACTGCCCTTTGCACTTTTGAAAATCTCCTTTTATTTTGTAACAAATATGTTTATTACATGAAAACTTCAAGAGAACTGGTTAAGGTGGAGAGGTCTAAATTAGAGCTACTGGCTGTGTGTGATGTGGGGGTGGGTGTATCTATTCTGTTTGCTTGCACCATTCTTTTGAGTAGACAGGAAATTGAAATTGCAGAAGAGACAGCCCTGGTTGTCTTATGTCACTAATACCTATACAACTTAGGTTTTCATGAACGTTAGCCTGCTAAGAATTTGCTGCTCTTTTGCTTTACATTTCAACTGCATCAAGACCAGTGTGTGAAAATGACTTCTTGTTACTCAGATCCGTATGTCAAAGTCTCATTGATGTGTGAGGGTCGAAGGCTGAAAAAGCGGAAAACAACTACAAAGAAAAACACGCTTAACCCAGTTTATAATGAGGCTATCATCTTCGATATCCCTCCAGAGAATGTGGACCAGGTCAGCCTCTCCATTGCTGTGATGGACTACGATCGGTAAGTGCAATTTGTTCCCTGAAAATATTAATCTTCAGCAAGTGGTTACCTCACTATTGCAATTGATTTATTATTTTAACTGCCTCGTGTTTTAAGTAAATTCAATGTCACTAAAATAACACTTTTGAATCCTCTTCTGGAGGATTCAAAGCTACCATGGCTTTCAGCATTTACTTCCATTTATCAGTGTCATTAATGATGGTAGGAAGAAAACTAAACATGACTGAAAATTGTCTTATAAATGTAACCCGCATTAACAGTGTGAGTCTTTGTCCATCCCGTCCCCATCTCCCCCCCCACCCGACCCTGTGGCTACACTGTGTAAGGGGTTTGTAAGACTGTAAAACTTCCAGCAAATGGAGTTATTCCTTTAGCTCAAGCAGTAGGAAAAAAGTTAGCTCTATAGGTTTCAGAGTAGCAGCCGTGTTAGTCTGTATCTGCAAAAAGAACAGGAATACTTGTGGCACCTTAGAGACTAACAAATTTATTTGAGCATAAGCTTTCGTGTGCATCTGAAGAAGTGGGCTGTAGCCCATGAAAGCTTATGCTCAAATAAATTTGTTAGTCTCTAAGGTGCCACAAGTACTCCTCTTCTTGCATCTGAAGAAGTGAGGTTCTTACCCACGAAAGCTTATGCTCCCAATACTTCTGTTAGTCTTAAAGGTGCCACGGGATACTCTGTTGCTTTTTACAAGTACTCCTGTTCTTTTTATTAGCTCTATAGACACTGGTTAAATTCTTGCTGATAATTCAACCAGGGAATTCATTACTTCAGGTCAATTACCCTGGACCTGCCTACTTCCTGTCTCCATACAGAGGAGGGAAATACCCCACAACCGCATCGCCCACTTAAGTTCTGATATGGGCAGAGAGCCATCTCCTCTCATCCTTTCCCAGACAGTTTCCTAGCACAAAGGGAACAACTCCATCCCTATGGCTAAAATAGCCTGGGGGTTGCAAGTTACATTAGAGATGGATTGACAGAACAGTGCTTGAGCAGAGCCTACTTCACTCACACCTACTATTACTCATGAGCTCCAGAGACATTCAGAATTATAGGGGACGGGGGTGGGGGCGGGAGAATCAGCAGTAAAAACTGAGTCAATGATATAAAACCTGTGGTGAATTTTCCCCATCCTTTAGTTCCTACCTCACCTTAAGACAGTGGCTGTGAAGGGCTTAGGGAGAGAATGGTGCAGTGAGTTATACACCATCAGTCCTTCTATAGCACTCTTCATTTGCCGATCTCAAAGTCTTTGTCAAGGAGAAGATAAGTATCATCGTCTGTTTACAGAGGGAAGAAATAAGAAAGAAAGTGAGGAAGTGACTTGGTCAAGGTCACACAATAGATCAATGTCGGAGTAAGAGCTATTAAGCATTTAGCTGGTGTTAAGATTTTTGCCTGTCATGGTTACACCCCTGAATGCCTTGACAAGAAGCATAGATCTATCTTTTATGTTTCTGTACCTGAGGTTCTAATTATTATAACAGACTAAAGATGAAAAATATACCTTAAGATCACCAGCTACTCTTGGGTCCTGCATGAACCCTGATTCCTCCAATTCCCACTCATCATCCCTCTCCCCACAATTTAAAACACAACAGCAAAACATGTAACTAACTAACCGGTGACACTCAAAACCTACTGACAACTATATGCAAGAAATCCATGGATCACCACACTCAGCTTCGTAGAGCCGGTAACCACCCCAAATACACCAAGAAATCTCTTAGCTACAGCCAGGTACTTAGATGCCACAGAATATACTCCAAGAAGAAAGTTTGGGATACACACCTTAACACACTTCACCAAACAAGGACATTCCACCAGAGAAGTTGGAATGGGCCACCCAAATACTCTGAAGGAACCTGCTCCATGCAGAAATAACCCCCACCCTCTGACTGCACAACCCTAGTTGTCACCTACCACCTCACTGGACCCCATACAGGGTATCATCAAACTACAACCCATACGCCATAGGGATCCCATCCTGAAAGAAATCTTTCCTGAACCCCCACTTCTGGCCATCAAACAACCTGCCAACCTCTCCAAGCTCATTATCAAGCAAGCTCCCTGCAGACCAGGACACACCAACTCAAAGTGGCACCAGACCCTGCCAGAACAACAGATGTAAAACCTGCAGACATATTTCCAGTGCTACAATGATCAACACCCCCCACAACATATCTTTCAAGATCCAGGGGTCTTACACATGCCTATCACAACATGTGGTGTACCTCATCCAGTGCACTAAATGCCCCAATAACAATTATGTGGGTGAAATCTGACAATCACTACACTCTTGAATGAACTCATGCAGGAAAATGATAACAGACAAAAACACTATCACCTGTGGGTGAACACTTTTCACAAAGTGATCTCTCTATATCTAACATCTCAGTCCTCATCCTCAAAGGAAACCTGCACAACACTTTCAAAAGATGAGTCTGGGAACTTAAATTCATAACTCTGCTATCACTAAAAATCATGGACTGAACAGAGACATAGGATTTATGGTTTATTACAACAATCTATAACCCACTAACAACATCCCCAATTGCTTTGCTTCCCCTTCCACCCCGCCTTCCTTTATCCCAGTGATTGGAGGGGTGTTAATGGGCTACTTCACCTTGAATGGTCCCTTGAAATGTGTGTTAACTACTGGTACTAAACAATCTGTTCCACCTTGTATTTAGCTGTGACAATAAGTAAGTTTCCCAGACCTGAAGCAGAGCTCTGTGTAAGCTCAAAAGCTTGTCTCTCTCACCAACAGAAGTTGATCCAATAAAAGATATTACCTCACCCACCTTGTCTCTAATATACTGGGACCTACAGCCACAACACTGCATACTCAAAACCATGGTCAATCATTTGTATGTTATCTCTGTCTCCAACTCTTTGCCTGTTCTTTTGGATTGTAAGTAGAACCCTGCACAGATACCAAGTTTGTATCTGCATCCAATCTGCGAACATGGTCCATGGATATCCGCATCCGCATCCACGGATGCAGATATCTGCAGGTACAAAGTGGATATTCACAGATTTGCCGGACTCTAATTGTAAGCTTTCCAGGGCAGGGCCAATTTCTTCATCAGTGATTTTATAGCTCTTAACAAAATGATGCCCCAAACCTGACTGGGATTTTTAAGTCGTCCTGTAATATATATGATTAATAACAATAATGTGTACACTTTGGGCATCTTCAACATTTTGCGCTAAACCAATCCAACTGCATTATGGTTCAAAGATGTTAATAAATCTATCTGCATTAAAAAAAGCTTTCTCTGCCCTTCTGTAATCCTCAGAGTAGGACACAATGAGGTGATCGGGGTGTGTAGGACAGGACTTGATGCTGAAGGACTTGGAAGAGATCACTGGAATGAAATGCTGGCTTACCCCCGTAAACCTATTACTCATTGGCATCCATTGGTAGAGGTAAGAAGTAGAGTATCTCTATAGCCAACTTGTTGCTACATCTCTCTGCTTTTAATAACTCATTTCCAAGAGCCTCTGAGAATCATGACATCACTAAGGTAGGGACCTTGTGGAAGATCCTCCACACCACTTAAATCTTGCCTAAGAGTTGTGTGTGGTGGGGGAGAGAGGGTTGAATGGCCAAGCAGGGATGCCTGTGCATACCTTACATACTGCAGAAAGCACTTTGCACTGCCCTGCAAAGGCTGGTATGGAGATCCACTTTGGGGCAGGCCAGGGGTCAGAAATTGGCCCTGGGCTTCAGAGATGGATTTCACTTCCTCAGCCTTCCTGCACTCCACTTCAATAGGATCTGAAGTTTCTTATGTTTGTGGACTGAATTTTCTCTAAATAGCGGACAGTCAAAAGAAATCTATGACTCAGTTCACGTCTAAAGAATGCTTTTATTGATTTTTGCTGTTATTTTAATCAGTGAGGTTCTGATTTAGGGGTTTACTTTTGATCTGAAAGTGTCACTTCAGAAGTTGCCTTGCTCTGCTCTCAAGGTTTTGATATAAAGTTCTTTCAAATCTTTTTAGCGGTTACCTATTGTTTATTTTGAGATTACCAAGGATTGCTTAAAATTACTTGGGAGTGGTAAATGTAAATATTTCAAGGCCAATCATTTTCTTATCTGAAATGATTAGAATTAAAGAGAGTTGTGTAACTAAAATATTGAGTTTAGATTTCTCCATTAAGTAGGCTGAGTTGAGGCTACACACCAGTAGCCGCATACAGAGATGCTAAAACAGTCATTTATTTGAACCCTCTAATCCTAATTCAGGGAAAATTCTGTGTGTAACTGTGAATTTTGAGAAGATCCCCTTCAGTGTCTTAGGACCAAATCCTGCCGGATGCATAACACCCATTGGAGTCATGGCTTTAGGGCTGGGAGGGTGCAGGCTGGGTTCATTAGGCAGCAGGCCAGGATTGGGGTCAGGGGGACAAATGTTGTTCACCCCTTCTCTTCAATCAAGCCTTGCAGATAAACCAGTTGAGAGCTGATGCAACCTGAGGCAGCACTGACTATTTCATGGCTCCCTCTACTGTGGGGAACCACCCTTAAAGAAGCGTCCAGGGCTGTGGCAGCTGGGGAGTGTCTACTGGAGCTACATTCTCAGGGAGTGTGTGAGAGAGAGGAAGCTGGAGCCAGAACAGTTCAGAGGGCACTGCACAGAGGTTCCTGGCCTCCTACTGGATTCTCCAGCATATATGCACGGTTTGGAAACAGAACTGCAGCTCAGTAGATGGTGAAGCAAACCACACCCAAATGGAATGGTTCAGGGAGAGTCCTTATGGGGTCCCCCCCAAAAGAGTTTCCTTACCATGGTTAATTCTCCAGGAGGGTGTGTCCTGAGGCATAAAAATTACTTCAGATTAAATTTTCATTTTCTAAAAATATCCTTTTCATTTGGGGGTACAATTCAGCTCCTCCTTTTGGAGAGGGTCCTTGTGACTCTCTAATCCTCAGAAATAACCATGATGAGTGGAGAGATTGGATTATGATTGTAAAACTAAAACTTTTCTTTCAGTTACCTGGCCAGGCAACCAGTTTTGATAGCCAGGGGTCTTGTTCATCACCAAAACCACCACCTACACCCTAGGGCACAAGAATGGATTCATCACATCCAGTGTCCAAGCTCCATGTCCATCACACCTACATTAACAGAAGGTTTGGCTTCCTCAGATGAACTGTATCCATATTTTTGTATTAAAATAGATTTTCTTCCTGTTCTAAGTCTTATATTACAGTTTATAATAATTTCTTAAGAATGAATTTCACTTGAGCCAAAATACTCCTTCCTTGTGCAAAGATATTCATTTTTCTCTCTGTCATAAAGTATTGTTTTGATACAACCTATTTCTTTGCAGATGGAAGGAAATCTGAGAAAAAAAATACATATATACTAGCACTTGAAAACAAATGGAGCTTATGATGCTATTCCTTTTAAGGTAGCAAAATTGTCATATACAGCACTTACTTTGTAACTTGCCTCTAAATTATAAATTTTGCACTAAATCGTATATGACCATTAAAGAAAACCTTTACAGCTTTTGATGTACTAGAAAAAGATAATTCTAACAACATAATGTCCCGTTTCTCTATGATTGTCTTGAATGTTACTTTGCTCACTGTAGGCCTGCACCAGAGCCCACTGAAGTCAATGGAAAGGATCCTATTGAATTCATTTGGTTTTAGTTCAGGTCCGATGGACCATATCCTGCAAATGAATGCATGCAGTTGAACCCTTACAACAATCCTACTGACATTATGGAGACAACTAGGCAGTATTTGATATCCAAGCTATTTTGACTGGATGCCTTGTTCGCCTGGGATTGGTTCTGTTCTGTTCTGTTCCTATGAATTCAATATGACTGGATGAGTGTTTTTCTTAGAATCAGGCTTCCAGCGAAAATACTTGTGATTATGAATTTGAAATTTGCCTTCTGGCAATATAGTGAGGTAAAAACTTAAATGTTACTACTTCATAGAACATTCCTGCTAGTAAACTCAAGAATATTCAAGGAAAGAAAATACAAAATGAGCATCAGTTAAAGCTAGTTGGTTAAAAAACTGAATAAATACTAGCACGTTACTTTGCAGTATTGATCCAAGTCTCAATAAAACTCCAGTTTAGCTCAGTGAGAGAATTTGTACTACGTACGGACAGAGAAAAGGCTGCAGGATTGGGCCCTGGGCTTTTAAAGGTGAGCTGCAATAGGAAAATTAATTAGGGGTGTTCCCTTTTTTTTGTTTGTTTGTTTGCTTGTTTCTTTTTGACATATAAAGAAAGCCAGAAAGGTTTTAGTTCAAAAACAATCCAAAAACATTTTAAAATTAGAAATGTATGTCCTGTCTATGCAGAAAAACTCTGTAATGATGGGAGAACTACCAAATTCTGACATGACAGGAATCAAGAGAATGAAAATTGAGAGGCGGGGATTTTTACTCAGACTTAAAAAAATCTTTTGGGTTTGGTTGGCTTTGTTAATACCTATTTTATTTCAGTGACTAACATTTTGGATAAATGATTTATTTATAAAAATCCATCACCTCCAGCTTTTTAATTAAGATGCGATAGCTCCCAATAAACATGCTCTGACTGAGATGTCTATCATTTCCTCCAGAAAAACCACGGAAAGCTGGCCTTGACATTCTAGTAAAACCAAGCATAAAATAGCTACATACATTAACACACAGGCCTTCTTTATATATTACTGAAAACAAAAACAAAAAAAAGGGACCAATGTTTGAAAAAATTCTTTGCAAGTCACCTTTGCTGAATCCTATAGAAACTGTTTCCTTCTAGAGATTTGGTCCTCTTGTCCCATGGTATTTTAACCCTCAAGATTGTATTTTAATAAATAAATATATATACATACAGCCTTGCAAATTTTTACTCATCCACTTGCCCTGGGCGAGTAAATTTTTTAAACAGGGGAGTAAACTGTAATTTGGTTTTCATCACCATCATCATCATGAGATTTTGTGCCTGGGCTTGTAAATTTTCGTGATAGTTTTGCAAGGCTGATATAGAGACATATATATCTGGAGAGTCAAAAACTATTTTGAGTATACATTTATCTTAATATAAAGTATTATAGGAAATGGGGTTTTGTGCCCTAAAAGTTACTATTTTGTAATGTGGTACTGTAACAGTTGACTGAATATTCTTTGCACTTTTTTGCATCTAATATCCAAAAAAAGCTAACAAGTTCACAATCAAATGTAGCACTAGTGTTCAGTAATGAACAACATCTTGTTTATAACTGTTTCATCATTTTCTATTAATATCATGTATGTTTTATTATAAGTGGCAAGATAATTAAATGATCACTTTCTTGGATTTAAATTATTATCCAAAACCAAAGGAATAATAATCCAGTTTGTGCCCTCTTTTTTTTGTTTTTTGTTTTGTTTTGTTTTGTTCAGAAAATTATTAATAATGGCTTGTGTTTCCAAACTTGATTTGTGGGTGCTCTGCCCCTCTGAAAAAACAGGCTGCTTAATTGGTGCCTACATATGAATTGAAATGCTTAAATTTAGGCATCCAACTTTCAAAAAAAGTCTAGCTGTAGATTATAGATGGTTTCTCATATCGTGCCCTTATCAGTGATGTATTTAAGTAATGTAAAGCCGTTTATTTTTTCATTGATCCCTTGAGTATTGATCCTGCAAAGTTAAGCCTGTGCTTCATTTACCATGTGAGCAATTCCATTCTTTTCAAGGGGAGTTCTCACAAGTTATGCATGTGTGTAGCTTCTTGCAGGATCCTTAGACTATACCATTTTTTCTGAAGACCACCATGTTTAGAAGTATACACCTCGGTCATAAAAGTTCACCCAGAGTGAAAACTTAGCAAAGAAAGTCTCAGTGAATGAATAAATAACTTTTCCTTCCAGCTTTTAAGAAACATGATTGTGCTTAATTTGTAGACAAGGTGCAAAAAAATTGAAGAAATGTTTTGATTGCCTATATTTGCATATTCAAAATGTCATAAATATTATTTTGATTTAAACACAATCAAATTTAGCAAGTTGTATTTGTAAAATATATTCCAATAACATCTGGCAATTTGAAAAACTCACATTTCTAAAAGCCTGAATTTATGTTGAATTGGCTGGGCACAGTAATTATTTTTCATAAGAATTTTTTTTGTACTACAGAATTTTTAATGCTTTCAGAACAGCAAACTCCACCGACATACTGTATTTACATGATGGATTAAGTGGCTCCAAAAAAGTTGTTCAGCTCTTATATATACTTACAATAATACACTTTAAAATGGAAAAGCCCAAACGCAAATTTCTCCCATGAGCCACTCGGGTCTCTTAGGTAAATAATGAAGTGTTTTCCCACCATACTAATAAGTTAACAAAAAAATGTAAAACACAGTTTGAACAATGATGAAGCTGTCAGTAGGTCTATGCAAAAAGTTTTAGTGGGACTTGAAAACCAGGGTAGGTTTGGGTTTCTAGTGGGGCTGCAAACAAACATAAGCAGATGTTCACAAATCGTCATTGAAGCTGGGCTGATGCAGTTCACAGGACTGTAGATCTGCAAAACTCCACTGATTTGTCTCTTCCCTTCCATCATCCCAACACCTAGCCACTTTTTTCCGACAACCTTTTCTCTACCAGGTTTGTATTCAAGCAGTAGTGATCTGACGCTTACTTTCCTCTGCACTTCCTCAAGAAGATTTCTGGCATTAGAATCTATGAAAGCCCTTCTCGCTCCTCCTCAGTAGGTGCAGGATGGCTACACCCATTATTTTCCTTCTTCAGGAAGCTGCCATAGAAAGCCTCTGACCTTTCTCCAGTGTATCATGATCATCAGAGGTTCAGGAAGCAGCATTACTCTCGCTTCCTTCCCTTCCAGCAGGCAGCCAGAGAGGGAAATGCACTGTCTCTGTGCTGCTAGATGTTAATATATAGAGATATACCTATCTCATAGAACTGGAAGGGACCTTGAAAGGTCATCGAGTCCAGTCCCCTGCCTTCCCTAGCAGGACCAAGTACTGATTTTGTCCCAGATCCCTAAATGGCCCCCTCAAGGATTGGACTCACAACCCTGGGTTTAGCAGGCCAATGCTCAAACCACTGAGCTATGTTGCTAGATTGAGTGGCAGGGCAGGGACTGCAGTAACCCATAAGTACATCAGGTCACACATTTCCCATCAAAATGGCTTTTTTGACTAAATGGAATTTTTTTCACAAAAATGTCCATGTTTGTTGAAAATTATGCTCTGGATGCCCCTAAACATCTGGCTGCTAGAAGCTAGGACTGGCAACAGGAGGTTCATCACCCAATGAATTGCCCTGTTTTGTTCATTCCCTCTGAAAAATCTGGCACCAGCCATTGTCGCAAGACATGATGCTGGGCTAGATGGACCATTGGTCTGACCCACTATGGCCATTTTTATATTCTTATCTGGTTTTCATAAAAAAAAAAATCCAAAAACTTGAAATACTTTTGGTTTTCAGTGACCAACTCCCAAATTGTTCAGTTTAAAACCAAAAGATTCAGAAGTAACATTTCAATGAAAATAAGCAATTTTAATTTTCATCAAAGTTTTCCTCGGGGAAAAAAAAAATCCTAACCACTTCTACCCATAAGGCTTAGCAATTTGTTCAGTTTCCAGAGAATCCTTACCCAGTCATCCTTTACTCTTACTTTTGTACTTTTATTTATTTTCTGGTGGCTTTTATTTTACCTATTTGGAAGCCAGGACTATCACTTTCTAGGGTGATGATGATCTAATTCCCAACTTCCACATGATTTAGCCTTTTTTAACCCATTAACAAAATATGTACCTAGATGGTTTATGGGATATAAAAGGTCTATGATGCCGCATAAGTTTCACTGGTAGATTTATACTTTACACATAAACGTTTTAAATCATTTTTTAAGAGCATAAATGTTGGAGAATTTGAGAAATTATATTAACACTCACTAGGGACTTATCTACATGGCAAATTACTGCCCAACAAACAAGGATGTTACTCTACAATTTGCCATGGAGTAATATCCCATGTAGATGCTGCTACAGTGCACTGAAAGTCCCAGAGCATGGCTTGGTCTACAGTAACTTGCCATGTGGGA